TTGACCACATCAATATATTCATGATCCCCTGTGAAACGACGTTACGAAAACAAAACTGTCAAAAATGATTGAAGTTGAGAATTCCCACTCCTCAAATAGAATCAGAAACCCTACAAAACCCAGTTAAATTAAACAGACGGGACAATTCCCACAAGCCCGCCTGCCCATTTTCATTTTGTGGAAACAATGTTGAAAATAGTATACAAACTATATAAGAGACATTCTAAACAGATTGCTTACTAGAGTATGTGGGATCATAGAATCGATATAATGGTACACTCTGGGTTCGGTTGACATCCAAAATAGGAAACAGATATAAACAGAGTGTTTTATGCACCCAACAAAAGAAAAACCCGAACTCTATAAAATAAAGGTTTTGCAGAATTGAGGTGAATGGCATACCTCCAGGGACCTTGCCACTGCCCTGCCATCTTGCCACACACACGGCAGCATCATAACCAGAAAGCCTCAGAAGCTTAACCAGAGAAAACTTGAGGCAGCTGGCATTGCATGGACCTGACTTCACAAAATGAAGATCGTTCTCACTGATAGACAGTATAAGAGAATGAACCACTGACGTCAAGTCCTTTTCGTACTGAGCCACTGAGCGCTTGTAAAACTGCGATATAATGCAACACCATCATTCAAAATTGGGCATAAATTATAGTTAAGACATGAACACATGAACACATGAAATTGCACAAGTTTAACAAAAACCCAAAATTGCACATAAGTCGTAGGGTGCAAAAACAATCACTTTTGAATTCGAAAAGCTAAATTCAGCTTCTAACTCCTAAAGGTTGGAAATTTATCGAAAATTCAACAGTTTGACTCAGAATTTAGAATTAGTCAAAATAACCAATTAACAAAAAATAATTAGTTACAACTTTAAAGTTCAAAAATTTATAAAACAAGTTAATGAAAATTAGTCGTACCGGAATTTTATCAGCGAGGTGAGCGAGATCGGAAATAGCAGAATCGCTGTCGCTGCTGCACCAAGACTCAGCTCCGGCGCTACCATTTTCCCAGAAATCTGTGACCATTAAAGCCAGGTCGTGCTCGCTCTCATGGCTGAAATTCCCTCCGATCTGACCCCTCATCCACACGTCACCGCCCGCCATGCACACCCGGCAGTCCATTTCCCCAACCCCAAACGGAGCTGTTTCGGTCCTTAGCGATCACCACGACCCTTCCTCTTCCGCAAGCGTGGCAACCATCTTGTAATTCAATGTTGGAGCGCGACACACCCAATCATTTCTCAAGCCCTAGCTCGCCGCAGCTCAAAATTAACCCAAAAACAAAAAAACAAAAGCTTCGTAATTTAAAAATAAAAAATGAAAACTTAAGAAAAGGGGTTCGAATTCCGTGCTTTCGTTCTTGTTTTTGGTTTTGTCGACTTTCTTTGTTTTGGAAAATGGTGATTGGTTTTCAAGAAATGGGGTTTTTGGCGTTTGATTTTCGGAGGGAGAGAAAAGGGCGTCTATGGCTTTCTCTCTCTAAAACCCACAGGATGGAACGAAAGCAATGGGATAGGAGACTTACATATAAAGCGGGGGGAGGGGAAGGGGAGAGGGTGGGGTGTGTAGCAAAGGACGAAACTACCCTCGTTTGTTTGCTTAAGCACCAAGAAATTCTCTGGCTAAATCACACCGAAATAATCGAAGCAATGGATAAGGTGAAATTGTATTTGGACGGTAATGAGGTGTGTGTTCTTATGAACGATCGGTGCTTTCTGGATTCGTTTCTTAATTAACACACATAAATATCTGTCATTAACAATTTTCACTTCTTAATTGACTTTCTTGTTGTTTGTTGCTCATATTTTCAAATTTTATACCAACCTTTTTTCTATTTTTTTTTCACCGGTTGGTATTTGTTGGGTAGTAGGAATATCCTAACCTCCTCCATTTCACAATGTTAATTAAACTATTTTTAAAAAATTAAGAATAATATAATTTTTCTTATGTTTAACACGTGAATAATATAAACAGAGGAAAATAGAACAAAATTGAATTTTAAATTTGATTATAACGTTAGATGGAAACTACTCGACGGTCGCGTAGCAAGATGAGTGACATACATTTATGAATTTACAATCGCTAATAAAGCCGTTCCAACCAATTAGTCTCAATAATTGCATGCTAAAATTGCTAATAAATTGTGTAATCTAACAAAACCCCCTTTTAGTATGAGGACTGAGTTGATATTGACATGGGCATAATGGGAATTCCGTCAATGGAAAATAACATTATATCCCTTGGGGACCAAGTCTCCAATCAAGTTGAAGAAAACTCCGAAACTGAAAAATAAAAAATTGCCACGTTCGCCGCCTGGCTGGAAGATGACGTGAGCCGTGAGTTACACGGAGATATTTCCCATTTTCTGGATCAAATTTGTTGACAGATATATTGCCTCAATTGAAATTATTTTATAAATGGACTGGTGCTGCCTTGTATTTTTGCCACCTTTAAGGATAAGATTTCCAAAAGTATTCAGCTGTTATATCTATTTATTTATTTTTTCAGGAAAATATATTCATATTATGAAGGGAATCATTTTCATGAGAACGATACATTTATCATTTTAAAACATACATCATTATCATAAAAGTCTTTGTAACACATAACATTCTAAATATGTGGATCAAAGTTTATGATCAAAATACATAATTTTAACAAATAAATTAGGATATTATAAGATAAAATTCACGACAAAGATATATCGTCGTCTATGAGTTTAAAATTGAGATCTATTTTAATCAAGTAGAGATAAATACCGCTAGACCTAATTAATTGATAAATAAATTTATTTATATCGTATAAATATGACAATGTAAATATATTTAATTGGATTATTATGCTACTCAAAATTACTATGGCGGTAATTTTTATTTTTATTTTCTATTTTAGAAAAGAGGGTCATAATCTATTTTCTGGTATCCTCGAAAGTTCGAACAAAAACAAATAATATTTTGGCGCTAATGAGAGCAGAGGCTCCAATGCGGGGACCACACGCCGTGAAGCAGTATCTTTCGCTTTCTGGCGCTGATTAAGTGTAGTTTGAAAAATGACCGAACCAAACTCACGCTTTTCGTATTGGGTGGTCGGCCAGTTAGGACCAGCAACGAAGGAAGAATCCCGTTGCTTTCCTCCCTCCTCTTGCAAATCCAGGACCACTTTCACCCACATTCA